ACGACTGTCATATTTTCAGGGTAAATTTTAAAAGAAAATTCTCTCCGTATAAGGATTATACAGGAAAAAATAAAATAGTTTTTATATTAATTTAATTAATTTTTTAAATTAAATTTTTTATAATTAACATTTACATAAAAAGTGAAACACTTACGGATGCCATGTAATCGCAGAAAGCGCAGCACTTGCCGAATGTAAATAATCCTGAAGGTATTTCTGTTGATACGCCGTTCTATATGCTACAATGTCTGGTCCCGTGATTAAACTATTGGAATATCTTGGGAAAGTTTTCAGTATTTTGTGGAAGTTGGCGACATATCGCCCTAGTTTTTCGCCAGATAAGTCGCATCTCGTTTGGCATTCTACAGAAAAAGTATTTGAAAATGACTCAAAATTAAATATTTTAGAAATGTAAATATTTGATGAATATACATTTTAGGATAATTTAAAATTAAATATATATTTTAAAACAGTATTATTTTTTAAATATTTTGTAACAATTAAAATATGAGGTTTTAAATATTAGATACTTTGCTTTCATCTAATTTCATTTGTTACTGTTTTAAAAAGATACAGTTTTTGAAAAACTTACCATAGCCCAATTGCCAACTGATGTTGTAACCCATGCGATCGCTAAAAGAGAGAAGCTCTGCTATGTTCCTAGGATCCGTGGAATCTGTTTTAAATTCGTTGTCAATATAATAAGGAGTAATGCACACGATTACATCTAATCCGGTGTTCTTTGCCCATTGATAAATAAGTGTCCATTGCGTTCCTATTAAATTACATTCTCTTAAATTTGCATACATTCTATGTTAAAATATGTTTTGACTCAGGTAAAAATAAATAAAGTTTAAAAATAAATAAATTTTTAGTCAGCCTATTTTTATATCTTTTTATACAGAATATTCCAAAAAATTATCTAACATTGTTTTGTGTGTAGTTGTATTTCAGATAATGAGTGCAATTTATTGTGTATTTTATATGTAAACACATCGCCTTTTCAATCTGAATAAATATTCGACAGCTGATACACACACTATCAGCGAATACAATAATCTAAATATTACATTACTGAATATTAACGCTTTCGCAACTCATATTATTATCTCAAAGCTCGTACCGACGGCATATTATAACATTCATTAGGCGCTCCTGTCATCAAAGCTAATGGACGCGCATGTAACTACTGGCAACCGCAATATAAATTAACGACATTAATATTATGTAATTGCATCATCCTCTTCCATTGACATGGTGCTTGCTATCCTTTCAATGTATGCACTCATAGCGGTCAGACTCGATATACTATCATGAAACTGTCATATGAGTGACATGCTAATATGTAAAGGCACATTTTAATAATTAAACCAAAGAATTTAAGAAGTCTAGTTATTGTTGATTAAACTTTGAACTTGCATTGTATATGTGTTAAATATTTCTGAGTTTCACCTAAAATCTACAAGCAAAGAAAAAGAGAAGAAGAGACATATTTAATGTTATATTATATTACCAAAATGCATGTCATTTCGATCCGTATTAATCTCGTGCGAATATACTTGTCCAAAATTATAAAAATTGCTTTGTGGTCCTCCAAGGCGAATATAAGCAGGTGCCAAACCTCGCGCTAAATTCATGCTTCTCTCGATATTTTTGCTGAACAGTTAATACAAAATATAATAATATACATTTTTCTTAAAATAATTTCTTTTAAACTAAAGAAAGATAAATTGTATTAAATAAAACTAAAGCTTGATTATTATAATTGCATTATTATAATTGCATTATAATTTTTTAATAATATTAAAATGTAATAAAAATTATAATAGCTAATAAAAGATTCCAATGAAACATTGATAAATCCCTTACTAAAATGTTGTTATTAATGTCATATTAATTCTTTAAGAATTATAAAGTTAGTTATCTTTAATTAATATTTCATCTATATTTATTGATATTCTTTTCCTTTTTTTTTAATACTTACATAAAGTCATTGTACTGCAATGTTGCCAGATCCAGAGTGAAACTGAGAAATGCGTGATCGGTTACTGCAATCGGTTTTTTGACATTTATGTTAAGTATTAAATTTTCCGCGAGACAATTTGTGATAAAAAAAATTACTTGCAAAAGCAAGCAAACATATTGTTGATAACATTCCATTTCTCCAGAAGTGTGTATTCCGTTTGATTTTTACACTCAATTCTTATTCTTTATTTCATTTTATATATATGTATATTAATTCGAAATAATTGAAAATTTTCTAGTCTTTTTTTATATGAACAAATTTTATGATGTAATTAAAAAAAAATTTACATAAAAAATATCCAATTTTGACAATATAAGAAATTGTATAAAAATATCAAAAAATATATGAAAATTTTGAAGTATATTTATAAAAATGTCACGTATGTGCGTAAAAAATCGGCACAACAAACTGAAACACCTTTTCACACGTACTGAAATTTCGCATTTACTAAGGTCGAGTACATGATTCTGAAATCGTGTCACAATAAAATTGCTTAGCGCATGTTTCGAAATTGGAATTTAATTACGTAAACAGAATCAATAACGCGCAAACACAGCAAAAATGTTCGGCTATGTTTTGATGGGATTCTTAAATTCGTACACGGTATCTTTATTAACTTATTACATCTAGTATTAATGAATTGTTATTTAAGATTTAACAAAATCATCATTTTATATTGTTACATTATTCGAATCTCCTTTGAAAAAGCAAATTCTTATAAACTTGCATATATCATGGAATTGCGAATATTAATTTAATAATTAATATTTCAAAATACATAGAGGGAAATAAAGGTCATCAAGAGTCAATTCGTGAATACGTTTAAAATAATCATATCATGATCAAATATATTGAATACAAAAATGAAATAGAATATAAAAGGAATTTAATCATATTAAGACTAACCAAATTCAAGAATACCAGAAGAAATTTAATTTAACAAAAAAGACAAATTACTTGTAACAATAACTTCATATCCTCGAATGCATAACTAGTTTCGGCTTATAATTTGAGCCCTCTTCAGATGTTTAACAATTTAGCGCAATAAAACAATCCTAATTACAAACAAAATTAACAGCTGAGATATGTCGACGGTTTCGTTAATGATAAGAAATTAATATTTCAATAAATATACATTTATATTAAATAACATAATAGTAAGGAAAAATCTAAGTGCAGTTCTAAATCGTGTAATTAATAATATGTATGTTGCAAAAGTTAGTGTCAAAATTAAAAAAGAAATGTTAATCATTGCAATCCTCTTAAGAGTTTTTAACGGATCGTTGAAAAATAAAAAAACAATTTTTTAAGAAAAAAGTTTTAATTTTTCTGTCTAAAATGGGGTTTTATCAAGGAAATATTCGGTATGATTGATAAAAAAGTAAAATATTTGGTTATTTTTGCTTTTTATTAATTTTCAACAAATATCTCGGATTAAGTCATCACTAGAAAAAAACAAACACAAATTTTACTCGAGCAGTAAGCGTCTCCTCTACTGGAATACATTTTCGTCGAGACACCCTGTATATCCTGCGAGAGTGTATACTTGTGTGGGTGAATGTTGGGTGGTCACTTAATTTCTAAGATTTTTTTTATATAATATATATAATATATATATCTAACAACAATATAATATTATCATCATTCGCCTCTTTCTCTTTCTTTTTTTTACTTTGTTAATGTTACATAATACATTATTATATTCAACAATAAACTCATTTTGTATCATTCCTTTATCGATTAGGTTAGTCGCTACGCACTGCTATTTTTTTATACAAGGGTTTTATTCCTCCGCCATACACCGTCATTTTTGCTTTGCTTTCTTTGTTCACACGAGCTTCCTGTTCTTTCTTCAGCGTTCTCTTTTTCGTCTGCCACAAAATGTCCTCCGATTCGAGGATTCCAGAATCCCAGCTTTCCATAAAGCACAGTACATGCTTAACAAATTATAAGAAAAACAAATGGTCTGACAATTAAATCCGTTTACAACTTATTCTAATACAACGCATTTTCGTCCAAGTTAATATCACGCCTTTCAAAATAAGATTTTCTTCTGCATAATATTTATCAACTATATGATGTAACTATTATAGCGATTCTTCAATTGAAATTGAAGATAAGTGAAAAGTTGAGGCGCACATGTATGATATCTTAGCGTATTTTTTATTTTAATGTGTTTAGAAAAAAATATATTTACAAAATTAATTGTCAGATTAAGTAAAATCAAAATTGAATTCTAAAAAATTCTAAGGAAAATATAAATAAATTTACATTATTTACAGATTTTTAACACAAAGTTCAATATTCGAGAGAGAGAGATGTTGGAAATTAGGAATACAAAATTTTAATTAATTAATATTTAAATATGTGTGTAGCCAAGATTCATATATTCTTTAGTGTATATTTGATTTTTGATTTTAAGACTAAAATTAATAATCACCACCAAGAGACAAACGTACAGAGAAAAAATTTCAATGTCTAAATTTAGTAAAGCACGAACTTATGAATCAAAGAGTTTGTTTATAAGTTTCAAAAGTCCAAACAATCTTCGGATCATTCACGACCTTCCATTCATTTTCCGAGCAAGCTTCGTGCGATTCTCGTTCATACTTTCTCACATTCCACATTCGGTGTGTTGCTAAATTCCATAAATTCCACAAACAATTTTATTCTAAATCGTTCTTAATTTAAGGACATCTCTTCGCAGATATCTGGCTGTAAAAGAAAAATAAGCTCAGACTTATTTTCAAATTATCATAAATCTCTTAGATTAGATTAAAATCCAAGCTTAATTCTTTTGTTTTTATGATCATCCCTTTCAACTGATCTCTTCATTACATTCTGAAATGCTTATCTTTGTTTTATAAAGATATTCCAAATCTGCGAAAAGTTGTCATATAAGTTTGCAAATTTTTCGCTGTTAATCCTAGAACCCTAATTATTTCTGATAATAGAAAATATAATTTTTTAAATATTATTTTTGTTTTGATACATATTATCTGATAAAATATTTATTGAAACAGAATTAATTTTTTAAATTGCGTTTACAATAAAATTTTCAATTATTTTATATAAATTAAAATTAGTGAACTTTTATATATATTAAGGTTCCAAGATTAGATTGATTGTAATTTACTTAAACACTCGTTCGATAATAGTAATTGTAGGCATCAACAGTATTGCTTCTTGGTTTAACGAAATCACGAAGAGTCTGGTCCGCAACAATATCGAACGTACGCTATCGTCAAGAACAAATATGACGATTAATATAAATGTTTGTCATTAGTTTTATTGTTATAAACAAAAATTGTTAAAATAATAAGAAAAATCTAAATGTTTTTATATAAATATATTAAGTACTAAACATGACTTATGCAAAGTTTCATTGAGATTCACCATTAGTTTATAACAAATAACAAATTTTATTTATTTACTGAACAATTAATGTCTGCATCTCGAGATAACTTTACAAAAATATTGTTGAATTCCTAGAGTATTTATATTAAAAAATTGAGATTTTTATCATTATTTTATAAGACATTTTCATATATTTATATTAGAGTACAAATTTAAAAAATATTACTACTTATTTAAATAACTTTTGATCCAGATGGTCAATTGTTTCTATTTTTTCGTATTATTATTAAATGAAATTTAGAATAGTCTGTAATTTTTTCAAGTATAGTTCTTAACATATTGCATTTGCCTTACAACCTCCTTAAATCGTCAAAAGATTTTCATGTCAATTTCAATCTATTGTATCATTATAAATTAATTTTTCAATTATATAGAGTTTTTCGTAAGAAAAGCAACTCTAATTATAAGTTCAACTTCAATAATTGAAATAAGGAGAATTAATAAAATTAAAATCTCTCTTCTCATCACTATTCCTCGTTATTTTGAATACCCATTATTCTTACATTATTTTTTCTTTATTAAATAAATTAAAAAATTTTTTTTATTTTTTACAAGTATAACAACTTGTTTTATGATTTATGTAGTGTTCCAATGGATTAATATAAGAATATAACAATGTCCATCGTTAGACGAATTTTGATTTAAAATAAGAGAGATTTACATTTAAATATTTTGAATTACATGAAAAATTTAAATATTTATATGTATAATATCACATATTATAAAATTCTTGTAATAATCATACACTAATCTCACTCATTTAAACATAACAATAATATTAATAAATACAATTATTAATGTAATAACAATTAAAAGTATTTCAAAATAATTACAAAGAACAACAATACAAAGATCTTCAAATCAATGACGCTTTGATTCGCGCGCAAAATTCTGTCATTAATATGTAATCGAGTTTTTTTAATTAAAAATAACAATTCAAAATATTAATATAATATTTTATAATAAACTAAACACTAATTAATTTAAAAAAATTGGTTTTGATGATATTTATTATCGAATAATATTTATCTTTTAGACAATTTTTTTTAAACAGTTATATCAAGAATTTAAAAGATTATGAATAAAATAATGTTTCGTTAAATTTTTAATATTTGATTCAAAAGTGACTGATGAATCTGCAAGTAAAAAAAAAAACATGATTGATTTCGAACGCCTTTGTATATAATTCTTGCGATAATAACGCCTTCCCACAAACATCGCACAAGTTCGCTCGGACATGTTGGTATAACGAATCATTGCTAACTCGAATGGCAGTCGAAAATGCGGAGTTTTTTTAACGCTCTTCCTTTTGTAATTCATTCACAATCGGCAAAGTTTTCTTTCTCTCTCTCACTCACTCTCCCTCTCTCTCTCTCTCTCTCTCTCTCTCTCTCTTTCTCTCTCTCATTTCCATGAATATTCCCTTATCACTCTCTTGTGTATAAAGCTAAAGTCTACCTACTTAACCACATATGGTTTAACTTTTTTCTTAATAATGTATCTTGCTTAACGCCTAACTTCTCTAACCACAGATATCCTCAAACTATCACGTTTCTTCTCGTAAATACTTTAGAAAGAAAATCAAAGACAACAATTCTTGCTTCAAATATTGGAAAGTAGCTTTTTTAAGTTACAAATAATAAGAAAAAATGGTCACGCAAACATATTCGACATAAATCATCTGTCGACTGAATCATGTTATTTTGTAAGAGTCAAA